CTGCGGCTGTATCTCCTCCCTCCAGCCAGCCCTGGGGCTCTGCCCCTTCAGAGATAAGCGCGTTTCCCCTCCACCGCAAGCCATGCCTCAGCTGTACTGCCACCCCAAAACCAAAAATGGAGACCCAGGGCCCTTCAACAAGCCACTGGGGTGCCCAAGGAGCAGGAAACCCTGAGCACAGCCATCTTCTTCACCCCAGGCTGGCCCCAAAAAGCCACGGGAAGCTGTACACCACCCCTACCCTTCCTCTACACACAGCAACACCAGCAGGACTCAACCACGTCCAGGGTAGAGACTTGCTACTTATAAAACATTGGGTCAGGATGCACGCTGGGGCCCGACTCCTGGGAAAAGACCCCCAGCCCTCCAAGGCCAGAGAGCCCCCCCTAGCTACTGCAGGCACCCAGGCCAGCACGATGGCATTAGCAACACTTCTCGCGCGAAATGAGGAAGCGGAGGGGCCCTGTGCAGACGAGCACAGAGCTGGCCACTGATTTCTGCCTGCTGCAACTGGAGAGCAACCCCTGCCTCCATGTATATCTATCGGGATAGATATACACACGCATGCGGAGAGGCACTGATCAGTTTTATTTCAGCCAGCAATGAATTCTGTAGACAACTCAGCATTAAAAAAGAAAAAAAAAGTCACGTTGTGAAAAGACTGTGTCATGTTAAGAGCTGTCACGCCAGCACCTAGAGAGGGTGGGGGACCCCCCCCCTTCCTCCCCCGACCACGGGAGGGTTTTGCATAGCTCTAGCTACGGTTTTTCTGCAGTGGGGGAACCCTGGGGCTCGTGTAGAGGAGAGATCATGCTGCTGCAGCTCCCCTGGCTGCAGAGCCACCCAAAAGGGGATTTCCTGGGGAAAGAGGTTTTCTCCCTTGAGGTAGAAAATAACATCCCGTGATAAGGACAGCTGGCGACAGACCGGTGCAAAAGGGCATCAGGGGGACGAGGGGTGCCTGGCCACACAGACGACGGACAGAAGACAACAGAGAGGCCAGGCCATGCAGGGACAGTGAGCATCCCCTGCCATCCGCTTTATTGACCCCCCACCCCTCCTCCATGGGGCGGCTGTCCAGGGGCGACACCCCCCGCCCCGGCCAGGGAAAACAGCAGCGACAACAGAACCATACACAGCAGGATGGATCCCCGTCCTGTGCTGCCATGCCCTGGGACAGAGGGCGAGATGACCACCCCCCGAAAACTAGGAGGGGAATGCAACAAAACTGGCTCAGAGACCCCAGCACCCCAGGGAGCAACAGCTAAGGGCTGGGGGAACCCTGGGCAGTGGTGGGTGCTGGCCCCACCCTGCTCTCCAAGCCTGGGAGCCTCGAGGGACAGGGGCGTGACCATAGCCAGCCCCCACCAGTGGGCAGAGTGCCCTCAGGGTAGCCCTCAAAGCCATGAGGACCTCCCTGGCACCCCGGCACGGGTGGCGATGAGAGGCCCTGTGGCGTCCTGGGGGCTGGCAGGGACCCCAAGATGCCATGCAACCCACCCCACCTCGTCACCTACCCTTCCCTCCTCATGCCAAGCCCCCCAGACCAAAACTGCTCTGCCAACCCCTGGGACCTCTGGGGATGGTGCCAGGCCCCAGCAGGAAGGAGAATGGTTCCCACCCACACCTGCACCTGGCCCCATGGGGACCCACGGTCAACAGCCCCACCGTGGGGCACTGACCCCCATTGGGGTGGGGGGGTCCCCACAGTAGAGGAGCATCCCCATCCTGCTCGGTCCCCAAGTGCCACTGGGCTCAGACCCCAGTCTGGCCACAGCATCGCATTCTCCCAGCCCCCAGGCCACCTCCCAGAATGCCACTACCTATATGTACATATATACGACAAAACCCCAAAACACGAGGTATATAAAAATTCAATGTGGGGATGCCCCCATACGAACAGTTCAAGGAACCCACTACAGTGGGGGCGGGAACCAGGCCAGGAAGCATGCCCCCAACCTCCCTCCCCCCCAGACATGGGAACCCTGCAGGGCACAGCTGAGACACAGCCAAGAGGAGAAGGAGACATGGGACCGAGGGCCGTCCGAGAAAGACCAGGTCCCCCTCCCAACCTCTGTGGACACAGACCAGTGGGGAGGTACGGGACAGGACAAACAAACGAACAGACGGCTGAGGGATAAGGCAGAGCGAGGGGGACTCCCATGGCCCCTGCTCCCTCCCCAGGCCAGGTCCCAGCCCCAGGTGGGCATCAGGAGCATTGGGCCAGGCTGGGACCGTCTGATGGATGAGGGTGGGGAGCCTGGCACCCTCCGAGCTCCTGGCACAGCGGCAGTTGTGGATAGGACAGTATAAAACACCAGCCAGAGAGGATGGCCAGGCCAGCATGAAGCCCCATGGATCTGTGGAGGGGAGGCTCCCTCCCTGCAGGAGCGAAGGGGATGGCCAAAAGGACCTTCTCCTGCATTCCCAGCCAGCCTGCGGATGCTCCTACTGGGTGGGTGCCACCAGGAGCAGGTGGGCTCCAGGTGCCCCCTGCAAAGCCCCCAGGCAGGTTTCTCCAGCAGCTTTATCCTTGGAGGGGGACACACACACACAGCACAGACACCCCTTCTCTTGCCTCCCTGCCATGGTCTCAGTCCTTCTCCTGCACCAGGCTCTCCTCCGTGATGCCCTGGGCTGCAAGCTCAGCCAGGACATTGTCCAGGTAGTTGATGTCAGGGTAGCCGTGGCCGGTGAGGTTCGAGCCAAACTCTGTCTTGTGGTGGATCTCATTCCAGATCACCGTGTCTGACTCGCCTGTGGTGCTGGAAGTCCCAATGGCGAAGATCAAGCGCCGGTCCCATGCTACCAGCAGCAACTTCAGTACCTGTGGAGAGAGGAGATGGGTCAGGCAGCACCCACTTCTGCTCAGGGCACACCTGACCATCCTGGTACGCCCCAGCAATATGGGCAACCCACAGCCAAGCCCTCCCAGGGAGGGGACGAGGCTGCAGAGCTCCCCCAGCACATGGGAAGATCGCTAGGCTCTTGGAGAGCATGCCAGACAGGCTACGGGAAAAAGCTCCAGACAGATTTGCCTGCATAAGCCCTGTCTGCTTTTCTACATGCTCCAAATAGCTGTTCGCTCCCTCCCCCCCTCGATACACCCTTGAGCGTGCCTTGGCCAGCTCTAGCCACCCAGGTGAGCCCCTCACCTTTCTGCCTTTCTCACTGTCTGGCAGGTAGCAGTGCCGTGGGAAGCCGCGGGCGGTGAAGCTCTTCCCGGGGTTTGGATGCTCCGGTCCCTGCAGTGTGAGGAGTGGGAGATGAACAAAACCCTTCTGGAGCTCAGAAGAATGCTCTGGGCACAAGGTAACCCCCCCAGCCTCCATGGACGCAGAGCTGCTCACTGCTGTGCTGGGCGGCCACACTACAGCACAGTGGTCCTTAATGCCACCAAGCAGACAGGGCCAACACTTCCATGCAGATATACTGCAGACTTCCCACAACATCCTTACAGACATGCAGCTCCCAGGACATCGCTGAACCCAGAGCCCTGAGTCAAGGCACGAGCTGCAGTATGACCCGGGGGTGACGCAGTGGTGACAAGGGCCACCAGCCCCTGTAGGGGACCATCCATGTACCCCCCTGGGCATAGGGCCAGGCCATACCTGCACCCCCGGGGGGATGTTGTAGATGATGCGGATGGTTTTGCAGTCAGAGTGGCCAGGCAGTGCGTGAGGGATGATGTGATACTCCATCTTCCCTGGGGGCTGTGTCCCCGTCTTCACCCCATAGATGGTTTTGCACGTGGGACACTGCAGGCTCCCATCCTGAGAGCAGGAAAAGAGGGGAACATAATGAAACCGGTATCCCTCAGCACCGAGCCAGACTGGGTACTTCATCCCTGAGCAGCACTGAACACTGTTTTCATCATGAAAACAGCCATTTCAAAAACAGTCAGGAAGCAGCAAGCAAGGCTGTGAGAATCTGCTATGGCAACCTAACATTAACCAAAAACCTGAGGTCTGCTTTTCTCTTCCCCATCAGTTTTACAGTCCTCGCTACTTTCCCTCCCTGTTTTGTGTTTCCTTTTTTCTTTTTTTCCGCCCCAAACAAAAAAGAAAAAAAAACAGCAACGTGAAACGCATTTTCCTGGGAATGTTGAGCGCAAAGGCCATTTGCAGGGGGCTTGGGAAAGCCCACCTGCGTCTGGAAAAGCGCTGTCAGTTCCCTACCTGTTTTGTGTTTCCTTTTTTCTTTTTTTCCCCCCCAAACAAAAAAGAAAAAAAAACAGCAACGTGAAACGCATTTTCCTGGGAATGTTGAGCGCAAAGGCCATTTGCAGGGGGCTTGGGAAAGCCCACCTGCGTCTGGAAAAGCGCTGTCAGGTAGCACTGCTCAAACATGCAGGGATCAAAGTTCACCGCCACTAACCCTGGGAAGGAAAGCAAGGACATAAAACTGGGCATACCGGTGGGAACAAACACCCACACAAGCCTGGCTTCTGATTTAGTGGTCCCAAAGTGCTTGCTGCTGATAAAAACTAAACTCTCTGTCAGGGTAGGGTCAGAGCCCTCCGGGGCAGCAGGACTTAAGCACCGTTCCACTGAGGGCAGATGGAGCTCAGCACAGGCTGCCAAGCCAGGGGCTCAGGCATCCCCTGGTGCTGCAGCCTCGCACCTTGTTGCCGTTGTTGTACATGGCGACCAGGCAGTGAAGGTGGAAGACATGGCCGCATTTCACCAGCTTCCCCACCAGGTCAGGCTTGACGGCCGGCTGCGGTCCCTTGTAGCCAGAGGGTGCAGAGAGGCGCTCCATGCAGATGGTGCAGTCCTGTGCGGGAGGGGAGGAGACGGGTCAGATGGACAGATGCAGCCGGAGCCTTACCAAGGACACAGGGCTGATGAGCTGCCCTGCTCTTGCGCAGCGACCAGCACCCATGCCCGGAGCCATGCCATCACCCTGGGCCACCGCAGGGGCTGGCCAACACATGCATGTGGCACACAGCTCGTCTTCGGAGGGGGACGGGGACAGGACAGAGCCATGAGGCGCACCAGGAGACCCCTGCACGGCACGGGGGCATCGCCTGTATCCCCAGTTGCTCCTCCCAGGGCAAAGCACCCCGGGGACGCCCCAGCACAACCCCTGCTGCTCACACCTCATCCGGCGGATGCCGCACCTTCTGCAGGTATTTTTTCAGTACCTCCTCCGGGGTTTTACCTGCAGATATTGTGTTTCACAGCCCAAGCTAATACTCACTGCATGCCTTCGTATGCTCTTTGTGAATGCACACATTTGGAAGGACAAACCGGCTCTGGGTTAGTTAAACCTATGCACTGACTCTAGCACCAAAGTGCCTCTCACCCTTCTTGGCCTGTTTCTTGGTGGTCTTGCGGCAGGTGTGGGAGATGCCAGGGATGGACTGGATCTCACTTTTGCTCACGGGTGGGGGGTCCAACCCCAGCTTGGGGGGCCGAGTCAGGCAGACAGGCAGCCCGGCCGCACTCATCAGGATCCCCGTGATCCCTGGGCAACGGGGTTTGAAATGGCACTGAGGAACCAGCGTCACCCTAAACCCCAGATGTTCCCCCAAATACCGCCCCGCTGGGGCTGACCTTCCGCGGGGAGGCCAGCGCCTGCAGGCACCGGGCGCCCTGCTGCAGACCCACCCTCACCTGCCAGTGCTGGGTTGACAGGGCTGGAGCCAGTGAGGTTCTTCACGGGAACAGTGGGGACCCTGCAAGGAGCCAGGAGAGACAACGTCAGGGCCAGCAGCAGGCACCCACAGCCCCGCAGCCCGTGGGGGCCAGACAATAGTTGCCTAAGCAACTGCATAGGCCCTGGCTGGAAACAGAGAATCCCCCAACGGGGCGACAAGCCCCGCCGCCTTTTCTCTCGCCCTTTAGAAACCCCGCCTGCATCTCCATTCACAGACCCTTTTTGTCACCGCTCCCTGGGCCAGTCTGTTGTTTTTTTCCTCTTTTCTCCTACGGCCACATCGCTGCCTCAGCTGTTTCCCCCCCACCCCTTGGGGCTCTCTTCCATGGGAAAGTTTCCCGGCTGGTCAGGAGCGGAGGGAAGGGGGAGGATGGAGAGGCAGAGGAAAGGGGCCAGGCTGCGACAGAAGGCTGATGACAGAGCCAGACAAAGGGGAGAAACAGGCTCATTAAATGCCCACCCCCTTGGAAAAGAGGTGTCTTTGAAGGGTGGGGGTCTGGAGGGACCCCTTCTCGTGAGGCTTGAATGGCTTTTCTTTGGGCCTTTCACATTCCCCCACCCATCCCCTACCACCAAGAGCAAGAGCAGCCTCAGCCTCCTCATTGAGATGCAGAAGCCACCTCGTCCCTGCTCCAGTCCCTAGGCACCCACGGGGAAGGCGAGGGGCCCAGCAGAGCCCTCTGTGTGCGGGAGGTCGGGGACCGCCAAGGTCCATCTCCCACCAGGCTCGGGGCTGATACCACCCCTGCAGTGGGGAGCCCCATGGGGCTGCGACCACTCTGTGCCCCTGTTCTCCCCCCAAAGTACCCTCTTGCTCGCATGTGGCAGGACTCACCCAGAGGCAATGAGCACCCGGGACTGGGCAATGGCCAGGCGCTGGAGGTGGCTGCGGTTCAGGGTGCCGATGCCTGGATGGGACACCTTGCCACCGCCTGCGCTAGGGGGACTGGTGGTGGAGCTGGCCGAGCTCAAGGCAGGTGTGCTGGGTGCCTGTCCCCCGCCC